GACACTGCAATGTATGAGGCTAACAGACCACGTGGCCCTTAATTTCAATAATAAAATGTCTATGGCTGCGGCGTTCTTGGACATCGAAAAAGCCTTTGATACTACATGGCACTCGGGCTTGCTATATAAGTTGTCAAAACTGGAATTTTAGACCAGCTTAATCAAGCAAACTGGATCATTTCTTTTACAAAAAAAAAAATCTGTGTTTCGGTGGAAGGCGAAATATCTACGCCAAGGGAAATTCAAGCAAGGGTGCCACAAGGTTCGGTCCTGTCCCCTACTCTTTGCAGTATGTACATAAATGATGCCCCCCAAACAGATGGCTTTCAACTAGCCCTCCTTTGCAGATGACACCTGTCTGTATGCGATAGATCGCAAAGAGCGTTTTGTGGTTAGAAAACTGCAGCGCGGTCTCAGCTCAATGAAGACCTGGTGTGAGCGCAGGAATATAAAAAATAATGAACATAAGACTCAGGGGATCTACTTCTCTCGTAGTCGTCGGCCGCCTATGTCTCATCTTACATTGACTGGAAGATATTTTTAAATTGTGTAAAATATCTCAGAGTAATCTTTGATCGGAGGGTTACATGGAAATTACACATAGAAATGATCGAAGCCAAGGCCTTCATAACATTTATAAAATTTTACTCCCTATTCAAAAGTGAACGATTAAGCGTTAACATTAAGCTGATCCTCCACAAAGCTCTCATTAGATCTGTAATGACTTATGCTAGTCCCGCCTGGGAATTTGCGGCACACTCATCTAGTGAAATTGCAGCGCCTGCAAAACAAGGTTCTCCGCACCATTGGCAATTTTCCAAGCCACACACCGGTTCGCGATTTGCACACTGCTTTCAAAATTCCGTGCGTATATGATTATATAACAAAATTATGCAGGAAAGAAGCGGAAGTTATACAAAATCATGATAATGAAAATGTTCGCAATATTGGACAAGGAGAAGCCCGACGTAGAAAGTATAAGAAGCTAAACTTGGCGGCGGTCAGGCATACGCCCGTTCAAGTGACTAGACTGCCGTGGTAGCAAATACTTATAGAAATAGGGCATAGTCTGCTGTACTGAGCCTGGACTGACAGTATGATTAAATTTGTAAATATATGTAAATACTGACAATGGACTTACTAATACAGGCTATGACTGACGAATGACAGACCCGACCTCTCGTCAGAGAGAGCGCCCCAAATGGACTGGACAGTAACTTTCATATAAGAAGAAACATTTTGTCATGAGCCCTAACCGTCAGTCGCAATGTGACTTTGACTTTGAGACCAGAGCAATTCTTAGGATAGTGCCGAGAAGAGCAGAAGTCAGATCACACCAGAGGAAGGGAATAGAAGTCTTCACCGAGATTAGCGGTTCAAGACGTATTACAACAGTGAAGTAGTGGATAATAATCATACTTGTAAATGTGTAAAATTGTGGGTTCAATAAATAATCGCTGAATCCAACACCTACGGGAAATTATTTGATGCGTTACCTAGGAGACAGAACTAGGTTTCCAGCTAACACGCGATAATATTGTAACGTGTTTTGCCACTGATTGTTAATTGCTTTATTTAACAACCTACAAGTCGTAGCTACAATTAATTATGACACGGTTACGGGTTTACACACTTTACAAACCCTACTCACAAATCTCTGCACACTATCACGATTCACTCGTTACAACTGAACTCAGTGACTAATACAATTCAACTGTCTTCGGCGGCGGCTACATCTTAACTGACTCCTTAGGCAGTATACTTCGTGCGTAAATGTCTACTCTACTTTACAAGCACATCAAATCAAAATCCATACTTACCGAATTGCAATTAATCGTCCACCATAACCACATATAACATACAACAGTATATGACTGTGGGAACCACCCACAGTCATAGGATCGAGTGCTAGCCAATCACAGGCTAGAAACTATTCGCCGCTTAGCAACGGCTGAGTAAACAGTCGTTGCTAGGAGAACCCTACAACAATATGGAAAGTTGCGTGCTTTCTGTAGGTCCGACTCAAGGTTAAATAAGGAGATATATTGAGTGGGATTTTTTACTACCAGTTGAGAATTGCGATTGAGTACAACGTTCTATGTGTTAAAGTATTCTTCAGACCACGATCAGCTCAACAAGCTTTTGTGTCTTCATACATAGACATCCCACACGTGTTTGTTTCAAGATGAACATCATAAAGAAGATTTCACCGAATGTTGTGATGATAATTTTATCCACCATGGCAGTTGGAATGTTCGGTAAGTGTTTGAAAGATGTATTATATTTCCGCACTAGGAGATCCGTCGAAAGAATCAAGGTAAGAGCTGACGAACCTTTTGAAAATACGCCCAAACTGTCATTCATTTTCCGAGGAATTCTTACATGTACCTATTTTATTGTAGTGATATAGATCGTGAAAATATAAGTAAAGGAACCCTTGTAACAGGCCGTGGAGGCCCATAGGATTGTGAAATATTGAGGATCCCACATTTTCTAGACAATCGGTTCATAGATAGCCGTGAGGTCGTCAGCCTTACGCTCAGGCAGCACTTTACCCCCGAGGAATATTCCTGGTACTCAGTTCTGTTAGTGCCTGAGTCGAGCCAAGGGCCATAGTGCGGCTGGAAGGATTAGGCAAATTTACAAAAATCCACGTCATCGCCTCCATTATCGTTCATATTTGGAGTAGATCTTAGAAATTTCAAATTATTTCATCTCTTCGCAGTCTTTCAATTGGTATGAATAGTGATGTTATTTCGAGAGAATATTTATTGTTATACTTAAGACAGCAAGTTTGATTATCATATGGAACAAATAACATTTAGTGCTAGATTTGGAGTCAGCGTTATCTGACATCCAGAAACTGTTCAGCGCCGACATCAACTAATGCTCAAAGTATACTTAAATGAAATAGTTCCAGAGGACTGAAATCTAAGAATTGTGTGCCCTATCCATAACAAAGTCTTTATCGTGGCATGGTCTAACTGTAGAGGCATTACTCTTCTAGGCATTGCTTGTAAAATATTTTGAAACATTTAATTTAAGGCACATTGTGGGATTACCAATGTGGGTTTCGTCAAGGAACATCGACTGAACATAAGATTTTCACTATATGCCAGGTTCTTGAAAAATGTTATGAATTTTAAATTGAAACACATCATATTTTCATTTACTTTAGATTAGCCTACGACAGTATGGATATAAATAACCTCTGTATGGCGATAGAAGAGATGCACATTCCACGGTAGTTAAATGTATTGGGCAGAGCTAATGTGAGAAAGACTCAATGCCAAATTAAGATCCAGAACACGTTGTCCAACCCTATAATATCCAGAAACAGAGGTTGACATGGGGATTCCCTAGCCTGCCTTTTGTTTAATGTATCGGTAGAGAAAATAAAATAGAGACGAAAGCATTAACATAAGAGGAACTATCTTCCATAAGTCAATTCATATTTTTGCATATGAAGATGAAATTGATACAATCAGAAGAACACAAAAAGCTATGAAAGAAGTTTTATTAATTTGGAAAGATCGGCATAAAGATATATCTGAAAATTAATCAAGAAAAAGAAAGTGCAAGCTTGTGACTAAGAAAGAATGCAATAACGGATGTGCACAGTGTAGAAATTGGTTAATATAAATTGGTGTTGTACATACTTTCGTTTTGGATCAGAGGTCAACTGTAAAATTACGTCAATGGTGAGATGAAAAAGCGTGTCCTCGAGGCTCATAAATGTCTCCACAGGCTCATGAAACACCTGAGTCTCACTAGAAACCCAGGAAAACTAAAGTTTTGATGTACAAAGTATATTTAAGCCCAGTGCTATCTTATGCATCTCAGAACTCGCCATTGCCAGGGCTGGATCAAAGACTATCAAGTATACGTATCTTTGTGAGCGGGCCAGTGGAAGAAAAGGGGGCAGGGAGGAAGAGGTATAACCTTAAGCTATACAAATTATTTAATAAACCAGATATTATTGGATCGATAAAAGTGAAAAAGCTTAAATGGGGTGGACACCTAATATGTGCTAGCGAAAATAGAACGATCAAGGTTTTCAATACCAAACTAAAAGGAACTAGGAAAGTGGAAGGCTAAGTTTGGATGGGGAGCATGTTTGTTATAGGACATCAGAATATTGGGCATAAGAAGCTGGTGGAGCATGGCATCAAATATAGAAGAATGCCCAGCAATTCTGAGGAAACTCAGGGCATACACAGGGCTATCTTGCCAACAACTGAAGCTGCAATGAATCAGGAAACCCCTGTCGCCTTCCTGAATATAAAACTGATGCCTCCTTCAGTGGAAGGCATCACGTGGTGAGAAGGTCCTCGGTTCGGTGGTGTGCGCAGGCCCTGTGACCTCCTACTATCCTCTCTACTCATGGCAGTCTGTTGCATTGATCCAAAAATTTTGTGACAAAAGACAAATGGCCGTCAACTGACCGATCCGGTTGAGGATACTGTAAAGGAAGTTTTTCCTGAATTCTGGTACATCCTGTAGTCCGCAAGCCAACTATACCGACCGAGCTACCGCCGCTTGTCGGCGAAGTTGGTGCGAAATTTTGCTGATAGAGGATGTCATATGGTCAGCGCAACGGATCCCCACGGCAGTTAATCTCGGGTTTCTAGACCGGAGCCGCTACTTTTCAATTCAAGTAGCTCCTCAATTATCCTCACGTGGCTGAGTGGACCCCGTTCCAGACTCACTACTTCACAGAATATCTTATAGCGCCGGGAATAAATCACGGGACCTTTGGATATGTAGCCAGGATCTCTGACCACTAGACCACAGATACATATATACGAAATAATTTCTACTCCCACGAGTGTGAGAAATTGCACTAAATTTTACTTTAGGGTAACAAGTGTGACATTAGTGACGTAAACGTTAATTTTTCTATTATTATTAATGTAAATCTATGTTTTCAGGGCCAATACAAAATGGTATTATAACTAAGCCGATCCTCCAAAGCCCACCAAGAGCCCCAATCCCTCCAATTAAATTTACACCTTCAGAACTAAGAAAGGGAGACAGTCTCATGACTCAGTCAGGGTCGGTAGACAAAAGAATATGGTCACAAGTCCCGCCGGCCCCAGAACTAAAAGTGACTGTGTTCTCGAAATCCAGCAGAAGCTCACTCAAAACAAGAGAAGAACTGTCAACTGTCCCAGCACCCGAACCCAAACCCAAACACACAAACCTCCTGAATGTCGAGCCCCCCAAAATTGCCACGGACCATTCAACTGTCCGAACCCGTCGAATCATCCAGCCTGTCTCTTCCAAGCAGTCACCGCAAGATGGTTTACCAGAACTCAGCGGTTCCCAGGACAAGGTAATGCTGGATATGCATGTAAATTTCAGAGACACAGTAATTTATACATATAGACTAGTTCAGTGGTTGTCAACCCGTTTCTCTTTCTTTCTTTGTTTCTTTCTTCTGTGTTTCCCTCCTTTTAATTTTCGAATACCAGAACCAATCTTTATGAATCTTGGTATGTATATCATGTCACCTGACCCCCATCTTAACGGCATAATTCTTAAACTTATCCCGTCAGTAATACCAACATTACAGCTTCTCTAATTTCTGATGCATGAACTCCTGCACCAGTCTTCATGAATCTTAGTATACCCATCCTACCACATGAAGTCATATCAACGGCATTTCGAGAAGTAGTACCAACATTATGGCCTCTCAGATTTTTCGGCTAATAACCGTATGTTAGTTAAATGCCTGAACAAGTCGTTATGAATCTTTGTATGTATACCATGTTACATGAATCGATTTCAACGACACACTTCATAAATCCCTTCCATCAGTATTACCACCTTCGCAGCTTCTGAAATTTTTCATGTAATAACCTCAGGATACTTGAATCCCAGAATCAATAGTCGCGAAATTTATAATGTGTATCATGTGACATGAGCCCTGATGCATCAGCAATGCCAGCACCGGAGAACCTTGGATTGTTGAGGCCGTAACTTCAATACTACTTGAATGCTTAAATGTATTCTGTGTACTTCATGTACACCTCAATGGTGTACTCTTTATCTGTTGCATCTAACCTGTAGTTATAGTGAAAAGAAAGTATGTTATCGGTTCTTCGCAGAATTTCTTCTTTTATTTATTAACCCTGATCTATTAGATTTTTTTATATATTTCCTTATTTCTGTTCATTTTATTCATTAAAATATTCAAGAGGAGCAATTAGGACGACAAACAGCTGTCTGATGCTCCAGGGCAGTGAGCTGCCATCCAATGGCCTAGTGAGTCAAAAAGTTACTCATTAACATTAAATTACAGATAACTTTCATGTGACAGCTCTGGTATTTGTTGCAGGTTTCATCAGGCATCTCCCCCCTTGCGTGGTATACTGTAATTGCAGCCCTGTTTGTGCTTGTTCCATGTGCGTTGAGAAAGGTGAGTTTCTTAAGATTTGTCTCCACATTAACTATCACTACGCTACGTGCTGGGCCACGCCATAGCTTAAGCGGTTAGTCGCTGGTTTCCTACCGCGGCGGCCCGGGTCCCATCCCGGGTCTGGTCAAGTGGGATTTTTGGTGGACAAAGAGGCGCTGGGGCAGGACTTCTCCGAGTACTTCGGGTTCCCCTGCCAATCTTCATACCACTAATTGCTCCACAATCACCCTCACCTATTCTCTTGGGCTGGTACAATAGGCCAGAAGTGGCCACAGTATAAGGGACTATTTTATTGCTAGTGGAGTGGGACTAAGTCCCTGGATTGAGTAATTGAGACTACCTCGTTCTAACGGGCCCAACTGAGTAGGTTTATCCTGCCCTACCCACCTAAAGACGGAGACAGATCCAGTCTCCGAAACGTTGTGACCTTTTGTCTTTTACTTACCAGACGATGGATGAAGTCCGATACAAGCCAAAAAAGTACGGTATACACCATCGTCAGAATCTTTTCAAGTCTATCTAGTTTAGTTTTGTAATGGAGAAAGAGTGTATCTTCTGTGAGATAAAAGTCGAATTTTAAATACCATTTATACGAACTTCATTCCTCAGTGAGGGTAACTTTTATTCACAGAGGTCAGCAGTAGTGTTTCTGTCATAAACAAGTTTTTATATTGCATAACCTATACAGGATAAGGCAAAATGACAACCATCTCATATTATAAAGTGTCACATATAACGTTTGGTTCCCATTTTTCTTGTCAACAAAGTACCTTCATTTCTTTGGAAAACCAGTTTCTTGTTGTACTTATTGACTTTTTATTACTATTATTATTATTATTGGTTTTCTTGTTGTTGTTCTANCACAAGTAGTTCCTAAAATCCATGAGGAACAGGTGGTGGTCGGTAGACCCCTGCAGAAGCAGAAGGAACTGACTACACCCACTAAGACACCCAAGCTACAGGGGTGTCCTGCAACACGTGTCCCTGATAGAAGGACAAGAGGGAAATTCGAGCCTGCAGTTTTTGCAGCACATAAAACGAGTGAGTAGATTTCCTAGTCCATACAGCTAACCTAACATTAAAATAACATGTTCGCCTGTCTTAACATTAAGTTAATGTGGAAAGACAATTTTTTTCATCCTATCAACATATTCTTAAAGGGAATGTGAAATGTTCGCTGGATTAACTTTTTAAACACCAAACCATGAAAAAGTATGGGGAAGTGGAAGCATAGCTCCAAATTCATGATAGTATACACCCCACTGAAGTCGAGATAGGTTATTTTGTATAGCAGTGGTCTACAGGCTGGATGGTCCGGGTTTGATTCCCGGCATTTAGAGATTTTACTCCTCTTCATAAAATCTGGACACACTCTGGGGTCCATCGAGCCACCTAGCTAATGGGTACCAGGGGATTCTGAATACTGACTCATCCATGTGAAGGTTGTGTAAATAGCGTAAGTCCAAGTATCAGATTTTAAGGTTGTTCAAATTGCATGAGGTGACAATGTCACGTATGTGAGTGGATGTATCTCTGAATAACCGCGTGAGTGTAACCACTGCTGTTATTGCTGATTTTAGACATTCTTTGTATTTATACAGCATGTTCCACATCCAGCAGCCACTTGACTTACTTTGGATCTATGCAATCCACTGTAAATGTAAAATCTCTCGGCTAGAGACCGCCTCTGTGGTCTAGTGGTCAGAGTTCCTGGCTACAGATCCAGAGGTCCGGGTTCGATTCCCGGTGCTACCACATTTTACTGAGAAGTACTGGGTCTGGAACGGGGTCCATTCAGCCTCGTGAGGATAGTTGAGGAGCTATTCCAAGGAAACAGAGGCTCCGGTCTAGAAAACAGAGATTAACGGCCGTGGGGATTCGTTGCGCCGACCACGCGACACGTTCTATCCGCTAAAGCTGGCACTAACTTCGCCGACAAGTGGCGGTCGCTCGGTCAGTATAGTTTGCTTACGGACAAAACCACAGAGTTTTTTTCTATATGTGAAGTAGCCGGCTGGCTCAACAGCCCTCTCACAATTGCAGCGCGGAACTTTTCATATATCTCTGATGACAAGGTGCGATGAAAACTTGCTGATTAATAACGGTCTTGTTCTGTTGCAGAACTTCCAATCAACAAGGTTGTAGTGGGCATAGCGCCGATGCCGAATACGACTTCAGTTGGACCTAAGGTAGATTCTTGGAGCAAGTGTATGCACCTCGTGCGAGATGGGAGCGACTTCAAGATAACTAACGAGAAGCCCATGCCGAATACGACTTCAGTTGGGCCCAAGATAGACTCTTGGAGCAAGTGTATGCACCTCGTCCGTGATGGGAGTGAATTCAAGATAATTAACGAGAAGCTCAACTATAAAGACGTGAAGTCCAGGATTGACCGTACGAAGAGGCCATTCAGTCTACATCGTATGAAAAAGGAGATTCTGGCAGGGTGAGTTGTGGCATGGCTCACGAGAGAAACATACCAGGTGCTGGCTATCACCGGTACGACGCGGAAGTAGAGGTCACCAGCTCCTCCGTTGGAACGAGACCCCTACTGAGGCTGAGGCCAGAGCTGTTGAGGCTGCTATCCCCCTTGAGAGAGCATGGCATCCGCGAGCTGCTGGTTTTCTGAGAGGCCGTAGAGCTGGAAGGGCGCCGTAAGCAGCATCACGTACGCCTTCCAGTAGAAACGGGACACGCTAGTAGCAACAGGTGCGCTTACATCGGGAGCGCAGACAGTAACAGCGAGGCTTTAACAGCAACACCGTCAGCCGACGCAAGAAAACCCTGCCGGTTGGAAGTTACACGGCCGCCGACGCTACGAGGACCAGCCGACTCGTAGACGCCCGGCCACGTGCAGAGAAAAGGTCGCCCGGCTTGCATGGAAGCATGATATAGGAAGGGTGATTCCCCCATTAGAATTTCATGCACATGAGATTTATTGTGTTCTAGAGAACTTTGGCAGAAATGAGTGATGTAAGGATTTTTAAGTAGCATGTTTCACTTTGAATTTGATGTTTATATATATTGTTCCATAATATGTGAATACATGCACTGTAAATAATAATCTTGTAATTTTGTTTAAAAAATGCAATTAACTTGCAACATCGCTGCACCGTCGAACACACAAAGTCTTCTAATTCACTTGACATCTTTCTGTATTCCTGGTTCCACTTCGCTTGCTTCCACCACTCTCAAATACAACACAATACTGACTAATACTGATATCTGTTCTGCCGAATACTCTCGTTATATAGCTTCTGCACTGACCAGGCAGAAGAGAGCCTCTATTGTTGGAACGTGTTTACTGAGCGATGGCCGGGCAACGGACTCCATAGGACCCAGTTACGTGATAGCTACCACTGTTGCGTGAAGACAAAGTGGTGTTTACCGAGCGTCGCGCAGCGACGGGCTGGGTCGTCACTTGCGGAAACGCAGAGGTCACGTGACTCCTACTCACTACTGCAGTATGACGTCATCGCGCCTGCACCGAAGTCTTGTTTTGCCTCGTAAGACTCGCAGGGCTAGGGTTGACGTATGCCTCTGAATAGAAGCCCGCGCCTCCAAGGGTTTCCATTACTATTCTGCATGAAGGCGTTGTCTCGGAAACCACGTCTTAATTCCTAAGCAACCGTTTGGTTTTCTAGGTGTACGTGTATACAACTTTCAGTTTCCGTATCAATGGAAACCGTGTTCCGTAATCACTGGTTACCAGGAACAAATCTCTCCGTGGCAACGTGTTTTCCCATTCGCTTCCTAGAAACGTCCTACATGTCACAATATTAAAATATTGTGGCGGGGCAGGTTTTCTCCAAGTACTTCTGTTTCCGCGACTGCTCCACACTCATCATCTATCCACTGGGCCTGGTACAATAGCCCAATAGTGGCCGATGTGCCAAGTGGATTCAGTCTCACCCCACCCCAATAAAATAGGGGGGGGGGAACATTACGTCTCCTGCTACCGTCTCGCAATTAAACTGTAACCAAAGCCANGCAAGACAGTCTGTACATGATGTTCTAAACCTGACGGAGGGTGCGACAGGAAGCGTCTCCTGTCGCCGTTTTTATCAATAAAACATACATTTCTTGTCCAGCCGATAAATGAAGGAAAGGATGGAAGTGCTGGCACCGATAGAAGTGGGGGGGGGGGCAGCCAGAAATTTGACTCATCCACAGACTTTTTCGGGAGAAAAGAAAAACAAAATTCAGAAAAGGCGATAAATGCACCAAATATTAAATCCTCCGTGATGAACACTCCAGGGCGATCAGTGAACTCAGCCTCTTATATGAGTACCGATTGACCACCTCTGAGGATTTAAAGCAGCCGGAGCGTTAAGCTGTTCCCTTAATAAATCCAATTAGCAATGCGAAACCCCGTCTCCATTCACTCAGACATGTTACACTATGTTCATCTACTCAATTTAAGGTTTTATCTGCATTTGGTGGGGACACGCGGTAGCTTAGTTGGTTAAGACACTATGGTACGAGCCGGAAGCTTACGAGTTTGATTCCCGATGAGGTCATTGGATTTTTCCAAATTACCTAATCATTCCAGCCGCACCATGACCCCTGGGGATGGCTCAGCCTCTAACAGAAATGAGTACCAGGAATCTTTCTGTGGGTAAAGAACGGCCGGCGCGTAATTCTGACAACCTAACCGCAATCTGTGAGCCCATTGTCTAGAAAATGTGGGAGCCTCGACGTTTCACAACCTTGTGGGTCTTCACGTCCTCTTACAGGAATTGCGATCAGCATTTGGTGACGGTGTAAGAAAGAAAGAAATTTTGAAATAATTAAAGGGCTGCTGTAATAGTTTCAATCATGTCATCATTCAGTCACTTAATTCGATCTGTTGTCATTTTAGTCACTCATTGTGCTTTGGGCAGAATATCCTAATTCCATACTTATTGGCTATATTCCTTTCCATAGGATTCACAGTACTCATAAGGTCCATGGGCTAAATTATAGTAATAAGATTTTTGCTTACTTTCCACTTTAGTTATAAAAATTCAAGATTCTTAACATTCATAGGATATTTTGTATTCATATTTGGTTACATTCATATCCAGAAGATTCATAAGGTGCACAGAATTTTGCTTTCGTTAACGAAAATTGTAATAATATTGCCATTTAAGTAGGAGGATCCTGGGAAAACATATTTTAGATTAATATTGTCACGTGATTACGGACGAAGTTGAATAGATTTACTGACCATTTACACGTCGTATATGCAAATAACTATAACACTATCGCTGATTTCCTCACTTTATAAATGACTGCAACATACGCTAGTATTTTCAATCTGTTACTAGTTGTTTCCTGCTAACGGCTCCTAACAATGGAGGTTTACAGCTTCTGTGTTCACGTCAGTACTGTGCGGCGAATATCCCACAACTGAACTCAACTCAACTACACCATCTCCAAACCTACCAGCAATAACATCTCAGGAGGGACTATATACAAAACAGAGTTTTTTATTATTACGTGCGTGTTCTTTACCGCGTGAACTTCTTTACCGAGCTATTGCATAGAAACGGTCGCTATTTATAGATTCACCTCTTAGAAAGAGGTCTATAATTAAGCAACAGTTTTCTGTTATGTATTTTGTTTCTATCTGTGGGGCTCTTTCGAGAAAAACAAAAGCTGATTCCTAGTATTAATATTCCCGAGAGCAGACAGCAGGTGTCTCTGTTATGCCACCAGTTATTCCGTGGTGACAGGGGGGCGTGGAGGTATCCCAGCTGTCACCTTCTATACTGCAGTCACAGGGCTAGGGCTAAGGAAACGACTAAATAGCTTCCTCTCTCGTTGCTTCGTTGGCTAGGTGCTCACGGTTCACCGGGCTTGACTGAAGGGCGCAAGTGCGAAATGTGGTAAGGGAGGAAATCACAACAGAAATCCACATCCTCACCCTATGCTACCCTATATTAGAATAAACACAATCAGTATACAGTTATACACATTTTGGTACTATCACAATGAAAGAGCCGACTGGTGTCGGGTTACACATTACAATTGGCTACATCTGTATCACTCAGTTGGATTACTCTTACGCCCTGTACACTTTTGCATCGTTCCTAACTCAAGTCCCATTGGAGGAGTTACACTTTAATAATGTCACAATTCTTATGCATGGCGATAAGAGTAGTTCCACTTACTTGGGTTGAATCTGCAGACGGATGGCGTTGCCGGGTGTCGAGTCGGTGCCCATGCTGACATAGCCTGCGGCCGCAATTGGCCAAAATTACTGTTAGAATAATCCCCTTCCTAATTTGGTCCCTGGGTTATATACCCCTATTTATGCTTACTCATTATTTTCCCGGGGGGTGCAGTTCCGCCTCCAATGACGTCTTATCCCAAGGTGGGTGATCTCGTTGGCTGGGATCCTAAGGGGACACACCCCCTTCTACTGCTAGACCCTTTGGCTAACACTTTTACCTGCAACGTTCCCCCCATCTTGCTCAAGCGTAGCTTCTGCAAAGTTATCATTTCGATGTACCTTCAATGTCATTCTGCTGACGGGGCATTCCCCCGTGGCAAGCCAATGTCCGTCTAAGTCCATACGCAGAAATTCCTTTAAGTTGTTTAACCTTCTTACATCCGCTTTCGTACATCTTACAAGTATTTCACAAGACTAAATCTATTCCAACCAACATTTTTCCCTAAAATACAAAAAGTTAATACTCTGTTAACATATTACCGGGGGTTGGCCTTCACTGCACCACAGTCTCGATGCAAGACGTCAACCCCAAAATTCTTTCCCTCTAATTTGCATATATTTTCAATTTTAAATTTTTGATTTTCGATCATTGTGGTAAGTGATCCAGTGTGACAGTGACTTCCGGCTCAACTATTCCTGCAGTATAACATAAACTTGTTTCAACTATAATATAAGGCAGCTTTCACTGTGTACCTGCGCATATAATATGATCCTTTCTAATATTATGATTCTATTAATATAATTGAAGAATAATCTCAATTATGAATGTCTTTATTATGTAATTCTCCTTAGACTTCATTTTCTCCCTCCATTTTGGTTCCAAATATTTTCATCAGCACCCTAAAGCCAACACCCCCAGTCTCTGTTATTCCCTAAACGTGGAATACCAGGTCTCACGCTCAAACAAATGGAAAAGCAAAGTTCCATCTGTGTACGTTTTAATGTTTACGTCTATAGATAGCAGATAGGAAGGCAAAACATTTTGAACAGGTACATACAAACATAGCCTTTATTCGAATATATTTCCGATGTCGCTTTTTACCTATAAATAAATAATTTCTTCGCAGTTATATATATATATATATATATATATATCCAGGATATATTATAGTAGTATCTTTTATTAATGGAATTTATAATATAATCATGAATGCTGTGCCTTTGTTAACCCCATTTTTATTCAATATGCTTTCCCCACATTCAAGTGCACTTACGCTCTCCACGGATGTTGCTCTTCATGTTTCCATAACATTTTCGGAGTTACCATTGACGAAGAATCGTTTTAGCCTCCTTCAGCTGTTCGAGGGATGCAAGAGTGTCCTATTTGCATGTGTGAGAAATTGAAGGAAGCAACCCTAATGGGGCTAGAAATAAACGAAAGTTTTATTTCAAAGACGTTTCGGTTAAAAGTCCTTAGTGCATAAACTATAAAAGTGGACCCCCCGATCAAATGTACGTGTCATTTTGTGGCCTTTAAAGAAACATGTAGAAGCGCGAGGTACTTGCACGATTTTTAACAAAGCCTTTATGTCACTTGACTGTGATGGTCTGAATTAGTGGAATCTAGCTATACATAGCAGTGAGAGTGTAACAGGTACTTCATTAAGTTCACCACACTCTTAAAGTATTCGAAAGGCTCTGTTTATATAACATTACGAGCAGGAAGTACAGACACCTTCTAACTAACTGAACTAACTTCATGGAGCTGAGCCCTTCTTGAGAAGCCACAATTTGTGCAGCCACTCAAGAATTTTCCAGTATGTTATCGTATTCACAAGGGCTCTCCACTGGTTCCTATCTTAAGCCAGCTCAATCCAGTCTATATCATCC